CGCGCGCGCACGCACGCACTCACCCACGCACGCACGCACGCACGCACGCACGCACGCACGCACGCACGCACGCACGCAAGCACGCACGCACTCACTCACTCACGTACGCATGCACACACACTCACGCACGCATGCAAGCAGGCACGCACGAACGCATGCACGCACGCACCCACGCACACACACACACACACACACACACACACACACACACACACACACACACACACACACACACACACACACACACACACACACACACACACACACACACACACACACACACACACACACACACACACACACACACACATTTATTTTATTTTTCTGTATGTATACAAACTTTTGTTATCTCTACACTATCAATGTATCACTGGTACATGGAATTTTGACAGATTTGTTCATTTTATTTTGTATTTATTTTATATTTATGTTTATTTTTTTCTCTTGCTGTTGTTTGGCATCTGCCTCACACTCCTAGCTCCACTGAAAATCAGCGTTACGAATTAATGTATATATACATATCTTCAATTCGTGACTTAAAGCTGAGTGGAGACCATTTTGGTGCATTCCTTTTTATATATCATATTTGTTTTAAAAAAACTGTTTTATTTGATTTTTTTTTCTTTGTGTTAATTTCTTTCTTTCTTTCTTTCTAAATTTATATTGGGTCACTTGAGAAGCACCAGCTTTTTAAATAAAAAGAATCATCGAAATCGGTTCACGTGAAACAAAGTTATAAGGTAACACACATGAAAAAACATACAGGATTTATCGTCCACAAGTCTCTCGTTAACAACGTTGTAAAAATCGAGTGTGTCGACGAGGGTTGCGTACCTTATACTCAGAATGACCAAACGGTATTCGCTGAAGGTCATACAGGTTTACGCACCAACCTCGGCACACCCCGAGGAGGAGGTGGAGTTGTTACATATGTCTACCGATATCTTACATGACACCAGGAAGTCACCTACCATACAGCACCGCCTGCTAAAGCAAACTACAGCACGGCGTGACTAAATTCACTTACGTGACTTAATAATGTTTAACATAGTGCCATCAGGAAGTCACCTACCTTACAGCACCGCCCGTTAAGCAAATAACAGCAAGACTTTTACGTGTCTCAAGAATATTCCACATAGTATAAAACCTAGGGCTAATTGTTAATTCAGCCCATTAGTAGTTGTTAGTTTGTAAGTAAGGTAATCTAGTATCACTGTGAACTCACACTGTCCACAGTAGTTCAGTTTGTTTGTAATCCGTTATTCCTGTGTACTCACATTGTCACAGTAGTTAACTTGTAAGTTAGACAATAAAAGTAATATAGGAAAACATCTTAGTCTCCTTCCACTTCAACCCTCCCTAATCTGCCGCAAACGTAAGTACCATCACACGTCCCTTTGTTTGCAAACAAAATCATATTCTTAGAAAAATAATGAAAAGGTCAATTGTAAATAATACATCAAATCAATATACGGTTATTTTTATGTGGTATAATTATATGGATTTGGGACTTATTAACAAACGACTGTCACATTCATAGTAAATATATATCAGAAAAGCATACATTTTTCAAATCGTTTCACAATCCGCAAAATCCATACCACTATGTAGAAATATTTTTGGTCGTTACAAACTTACATAACTATATTTTTTAAAACTTCACGTAAGGACTAAAGATTCATTGAACATTACAATTGCACTCAAAAAATACCAACGATTAATATTTTTAAAACTCCCATTAAAATTCTAATTGGAAATAATATATTGAAGTGGCAACATTTGATTTCATAAGCTGGTCACACTTACCATCATACCATAGAGCAATGTATGCTTCTCCATTACATGCCTATAAATAATATGGATATGAACGACCATAGTGTATATTATTGTAACATACTGACCAGAAATATAAAAACCATATTAAAAACAACAATAACATAACAATGGGACTAACTGTTCCCTTCTCTTCTAAAAAAAAATGAAGATTTTTATAGTGCCAACATTAAGCAACTGCCACAAAAATTGGTCAGTTGTCCCTTTTACTGGCAACCGCAGTTTATTTTTATTATGTTGAGTTAGAGTTCATACTCATCTCCTGTTTCCGTTTTCCAATGTAGGCTTCTAAGACATGCACGGTTTTTGTTTAGTATTTTAATAATTAAGTAACATCAGAAAACTTAAAAACAACTTTCAGAATACGATATTTGTTATCTTAGTTTATAGAAATAAAACAAATTTTCGAGTAAAATACAGGAATTTAAAAATAATTTTTCATTACTTTGTGCTTAAGTTTTTTGTACTAATTTAAGACTTTAAACGCGTATAGCTGTATTGTATTTCTGGGCAGTACTCTTTATATTGTTTCACATTCAAATTGCACATTACGTACTACTAGTCACTACTATACACCATATATTTATGTCCATTCAAGTCGAGAACGCGGAAACATAGTGGCAACATTGTTCTAAATAAGCTGACAGTTGCTATCAAACACAATACAAATGTCAAAAATTGCTAAATGTTAAAATATTACATATTAATTTATGGTAAAATAAAAGCGTTCTTGTTTCAATAGTTTATTATATAAAAACATTGATTTTTAACACACACTGTTAAAAAAATTAAATGCAGTAGAATCTCATTATATCCAGAACTTCATTTATAATTGTCATTTTCAGAGCGACCATCGCCACAGAATAATTCTGAATAGATCTAACTCTTTTGTTGTAATTCGAAAAAATCATTTTCTTTTGGTTACGGACTCATACGTACATGATATAAACTTAAGACAAAAAAGAAATGCAAATATACTTGTATTATTAATGTATGTATGTATTAGAATTTATAATAAAATACCAAATAACATAAATTCACTTATTTTGTAATTGCACTTGACAGGCAGAAATACTGGTAACTGGTAATAAACGTGGTAGAGCCATGCTGCAGCTATATTAGTAGTATAGTTCTAGCACGAATGGGTCGGCTCGACCGGGGAAGGACCACACCCTCACAGAATACCAGCGTAAAATGGCAGCTTGACACTGCTGTATTTCGTATGGCGAGTGTAGAGAACCGGAGACACGTTTTACTGGAAAAGGGGCATTCCATCTTAGTCCTCACGTGTGACGACGCATCTGCATTTTGATTATTTATTGAGGATGGATATAGATTTCTATGAGTCACAGCAACCACTTACCATCAAGTGGACTGTGTGCTTGTTTGTCACCCAATCCTATAAAAAAATGTACCTATACCAATATATTGAGTCCGAAAATAAATGATAAATAAAATTAAAAAAAAAATACTGTCAGTCGTAGGACTGCACGTCAGTAGAGAAAAGTTCCTAGCTTCACAAACTTTTTTTATATATCTATCTGAGCGTGACGGTCACGCGAGTTCAGTCGTTTCCCCATCGTGCGCAACGTGCCTAAAGATGTTTTCACTTCAATAAAATATAATCTGTGAGTATAAACTTAATCTGTCAAGTTGTATATAAGTTAAACGATCACTAACAGACTCACCAAGTATTCTTTCACCTTTATCAATGACGGATTAACGAGATTCTACTGTAATATTATTTACCTCCATACCAAAAAAAAAAATTTGTACTAAATAGCTTATATGACATTTTATACATGCAATGATCTTATTATGGCAGCTAGTTTTATGTTTCGTTCGTCAAATTTTAATGGTGGTTAGTTTGAGACGAATGATTCCTAACATATTTGGCGAATACTAAACTGCGTAACTCTACCAACAGCATCCTAATCACACTTGCTGATAGGTGGGACTCAGTCATTATGAGGCATTGGTTAAGTCTACATGTAAAACTAAATAAGTAAGATATATGTAATGTACGCGGGATGGTTAATTTGTTAAGTTAAGAATATAAAGAAAAAGAAGTCATATACTAACACTAGTCTTATTTTTTTTATTTATTATTATTATTATTTTTTTCTTTTCTCTTTTTTTTCTCCATGTAGGGTATTATGATGATACGGGCTTTAAGCCAAGTAGTCATCATTTGCTGGTATTATTAATGTATTATCCAGAGCAGTTTCTGGGATTTGTAAAAATTTTTTATTATTATTATTATATTATCACATATATATTGTCACAAAACTATAATATTATAAATATAAATACAATCTATATAAATAATATTATTATTTCGGCTATTATCCACCGCGGCGAGGAATCCTAAGCCATCGGTGAAATTAGGCATCCAAAGATAGGAACCTTCTCACTATTCGAGCCGTATTTAATAAGGCCGATTTTTGAATTAATCCCTTCAGCCATTTGCCCAAACCCAACTTGGATAGATAGTCGTCCATAGTTTTACCAATAAGCCCATTGACTGAAACAACTATTGGTACAATAATAGTAGAATCAACGTCCCACATAGCGACAATCTCATGAGCCAAGTCGATATATTTTATCTTTTTATCATTCTCTGCTTTCACGAGATTCTCGTCATGAGGAACACTGATATCCACTATTATTGCCTTGCGTGCAGTTCGGTCTATCACCACAATGTCAGGTTTATTTGCCACTATAAACCTGTCTGTGATAATTGACCGATCCCAGTACAGCGTGACACTTCTATTTTCAAGGACTGGTTTTGGTTCATACTTATAATATGGAACGTCCTGTTGAGTAAAACCAAATTTAATCGCAAGCTGCTGGTGTATTATTCTAGCTACTTGGTTATGTCTGTGCAAATACTCGCCATTTGATAGTTGTGAAAAACCGGAAATAACATGTCTGAGGGACTCTCCAGGGTGGTGACATGCGCGACATACGTCAACTGTGCCATCCCTCAAAATGTACTTCCGGTAGTTATTCGTTTTAATTACTTCGTCTTGTATTGCACAGATAAACCCTTCAGTTTCTGCAAAAAGGTCACCAAACTGTAACCAATGTACTGATGCAACCTTGTCTACACAAGGATTAGTCAATGTTTTAAAAAATCGACCATGCAGTTGTTTGTCATTCCAAACCTTTTTGCGTTCATCTATAGTCATAGTATGAGGCCTCTGCCAGTCCTTTGCCGACATATTAAGCGGGGTTAATGATTTGTCATTAATCACTACGTCACTATGAATGCGTGATGTGTCTTTTTTTTTAATAAAATAGTCTCTGAGGTTGTATACTTCACGGTTGTGTAGGTTTTTAATGTTTAATAAGCCCCGTCCACCATCTTTTCTTGGAAGATACAACCTCATGACAGATGATCGCGGGTGGTGCATTCTGTGCGCAGTCATTAATGTGCGGACTCGTCTATCTAAGTCATCCAATTCCGTTTGAGACCATCTTGTAATACCAAAAGTATATAGAAGGCTAGGTATTACCCAGGAGTTATATGCTCTAATTTTGTTTCCGCCAGATAAATGACTTTTGATAACTTTTTTTAATCTTGACATAAATTTTACTTTTGAATTTTCTTTAATGTTTTTGTCATTAATTCCTAGCGCTTCTGCCATGCCCAAGTATTTATAGGTTTCTGTCTCAGAAAGAGAACTGAAATGTAAGTCATCTGTAATTGCAAAATTATTACAATCTTTAATTTTGCCCCTATTTACGTTTATGACAGCACATTTATCTATTCCAAATTCCATTCTAATATCATTGTTGAAACTATGTGTTAATTTCAACAATAATAATAGATCACTCTCTTTTGATGTGAATAGCTTGAGATCATCCATGTAAAGTAGATGTGAGATGGGTGAGTTTTCTTTTCGAAACCGAAATCCTAATCCAGATTCCTCAATAACAGTGCTTAAAGGATTCAGGGCTAAACAAAACCAAGTTGGGCTCAAACTATCGCCCTGGAATATACCCCGCTTAATATTTATAGAGTCTATCGAACTACTTTGCCACTTACCTGGTAGATTTAGGATAGTGTTCCACTGACCCATTAATTTACTTAAAAACTTACAAATTTTGTCATCTATTTTATATATTTCAAAAACTCTCTTTAGCCATGAATGTGGAACAGAGTCATATGCCTTTTTGTAATCCACCCAAGCAGCGGACATATTTTTGCGATTACGAAAAACTTGTCGGCAAATAGCTGTGTCAATGAGAAGAAGTTCTTTACAACCACGTGACCCTTTCCGACATCCGTTCTGTGCGGTTGACAGAATGTTATTATTTTCCAAATGTTTATAGATCTTGTTATTTAAAATTGCAGTTATTAATTTATATACAGTTGAAAGGCATGTTATAGGTCGGTAATTTTTAGGTTCCGTGGTGTTTCCATTTTTATATAGTAAGTGGGTAATACCAGTTGTAAGAAGTCTCGGGAGCTCACAGCACTCAATGGCTTCTTGAATCTGTGCAGCCAAACGCACATGGCTACTTGTTATCCATTTCAGCCAAAAGTTGTGTATACCATCTGGTCCAGGTGATTTCCAATTGTGTAATCTACGAGTAATTGAGTATACATCTTCAGCAGTAATTGAGATAGAACCCATGTTAGCCAAATTAGAAAACTTACGTTCGGTTGCACGAATCCATTCGCCTTCATTATGAGAAACTTCATTAGACCACATATTTTTCCAAAAATTTAGACATTCAATTAAGCTTGGGCTGCCATGAGTACAACTATTAGTTGTAGTGCTCTCCCAAGACCGATACACCCACTTTTGATTACTTTCGAATGTGCGATTTTGGAAGTACCGTTTAGACGTTTCTGAATATCGTCTAATACGGTTGGCCCATGCTTTTAACTTTTGTTTTTGCGTATCAATGTACTCAGTAATTTTATCCGGAAAATGGGGATCTAAATGGCTAATATTATTTTCATTAGAGATTTAATTTACTAAAGTAATTATTTTTTTACGCCTGTTACCTGTTTGGTAGCTTATTAATTTTCCTATAATTTTGCGAGTATTGTCAATTCGTTTTTGAATTCTTTGTTTCCATTTAGGTTCTGTATTATTTTTCTTAAAATTTTGTACTGAAATGATAGGAATTTTCATTATCATACATACAGCATGGGCACAACAGTATAGAAGAGACATAGTTTCCAAAATAGAATTACTTTTTTCAAAATAATCTTTACATAAAACATTCATTGATGCTACTGTTAATATAGTTTTTTTGTTGTTAGGCAGTTTAGGTAGTTTCGGTCTATTTTCTATAGGTGTATTTTTATATTCCAAAAGAGAACATTCGAAAGTCCTTCTTATATATTCGCTGTTCTTGGAACTCACATCTATATCAAAACAATTTTGCTCTACTTTTTCGTTGTTTAAGTTAGTAATATTTATATTATGGTTACTGTTATTAACATTTAAGTCATCAGACTCACCTGGAAGTGTTCGTTGGGAATCAGGAATTGAATTGATAGAAGATGTTGAGTACTCACTGCAAAGTTGTTCAAGTAATCTGTCATCCAAAATCTTACGACTTAGAATGACACGTACTTGATCTGAAAGTCTTTGGGCAGTTAAGTTTGTTAGGTTGGGCTGTAGCTGTTGGAATTCAGATAGCATTTTAGGGCGATAAGATGTAAGATTGGTTCCTCCTTTGGTAGCCTTATAGTACGCGCGCATAACACTTATATTTAATTCTTTAGTCCAGCGCATGCGTCGTCGCACTACACCATCAGTAGCGGGGTCCTCTTGTAGGATGGTAATTCCTGCAGGTCCCAAGCCAGCCGGTGGCGCTCTTCGTCCCCTCAAAGATGGTACGGGGGTTCTTCTTGTGCCTCTAGGATTACATTCCATGGATGTGTAGTCCTCCGTAGGCGATGTTACGTGTGCGATTGTGGTATTGGCGGTATTTATTCGTCTTTGTCGTCTCGTTCGATGCATAATGTAACGTTAAATTAAATATTTTATAAATCTGTTTGTAAAATTTCTTATATGACAGTTGTCAATTTGAAAGAAATACATTTTTTCTTGAAATTAGTTTCTTATCCACAGATTTTTAAAGTTTTTATTTATATTGATATTGTAAAATCTATTTGCGTTGAAAATTTGTTATTTGGGAACTTGAAACATATGCTACAAAAAATAATTTTTAAGATTTTGTACTGACTGCATCATTTACTTTTGACAACGTCCGCCATTTTATTATTATTATTATTATTATTATTATTGTTATACTAACATCTCTATGGACTGAATCTGAATAAAATATTATTATTATTATTATTATAAACACTGATTCAAACTGATTTCACGGAATTGATCGCGATTCTAGACATTTTGAGTACAATGGTATTCAAATAAGAATAGCAACGTCAATGACCTCGAATGAAAACAGTAGTGCTGATAATGATTACAATGATGACGACTCAGACAGCGATGCAGAGATGGCCGAAATTGAAACGCTAGATTCAGATTAATACTCCCATTCGTGGTTCTTTTGTAAATAAATATAATTTTAAAACATTTGTTTTGCTCACCCTACCAGATTTGAATTGACAGCTATGACGTCACAAATATGGCGCCAAGTCAGAAAGAAAGAAACATTTATTGCAAAGGTCAGTCCTATTGTTATTTGAATCACATAGTACTTTACATGTACACAGGAGAGTAAGGGGCAGAAGAGTTTAATGTTCTGATGTCACAGTTTAACCCGGGCTAATTCCCACCCCAACTCTCGTTCCGTAAAATAAGTTTCATTCAAGAAAACAGACGAGCTACTTACAAATAGATTATGATTCAATTCATAAAATGTTTATTTAATATCCTAAAGAATTAATAGCACGGCCCACACACGAACAGTTGACCAAAGGTATTATAAACCCGTCATGACAAATATTTCCATATACATATTATATGTGGAGAGAAGATACACAATATATGGGATTCATATATGAAATACATTTTATATCATTAAAACACTGCAGCCTGTAAGTATAGCACAGTTCACACCAGCATTAAAAATCCTTTATAATGCTGGTGCTACGCTATTTAATTTGCTTAGGCCCAGTAAACGTCCATTAATTTCGTGAGGCGATATTCGCGATTTGTCTACCCTCCCTCTCCTCCTGGTGAGATGTCATGAGACATTTCTGGACCCCTCACCATCAACTCCCCAAAACCTTACTTTAGATTTTTTAAATGCGTATTTTTAGTGTAAATACGTCAGTCTCCAACACCGTATTTCAGTATTTCTAGTAATTCACAACAGTATTTCTCACGACAGTAGTCTTGCGCGGTCAGCCGCGGCGTCACAGTATTTCAGTTCGCATATTTCCGTGGGACTACTCTATTGACACAGTGACTAGTTAATACCTGACACTAATTACAAACTACTTGTTAAAACACGTTATCAGTTAAATACGACATCAATGACTTCTCGACTTGAATGCAACAGGTACCTAAGTTAAATCTCTATTTGATAAGGATTACTATTGCTGAAGCCATTGTTCGGTGCAAACGACAATAAAGTGTGTAAGGCGTGATTGCGGAACAAAGCAAAGGAATCTACGGCATTGTTTAAATAAACGTAAATAGAAAATTAACAAAAGTTGATCTTCTACAAGCGTTAACGCCAATAGAAATTTATAAAACTGAATGAGAATAGCATATCTAAACGAAGAGTCACATAAAGTCGATTTGAGTAATTGTGATAGTTTTGATAGATTATATGAAGCATTAACGACTGTAGGAAGTCAACCTAGCGAACCCTGTAGTTAAGATTTCGATGCGGAAATGTCAATGAGGGCTAACAATCTCCTGCTCGCCAGATGTCGCTAGTTGCGACTGAGGTGAAGTTTAATGTTACACAATGTCATTTAATTGAGAATTTAGTTTTAAATTAAAGTTTATCACTTTCTAGAGTATTATATTAATACACAAAACAATGTCCCAGTGGTTTACTCTTTAATTTTTTGCACGTTTATAACTCAGTTTTTAATAGCTTGGTTTGTTTATTTCTAATGTGATTAATACAAAATATAAAACTAATATTATGAAAAGAAACATTAACCTTTACATTTTTCGAACACATTAACTTCCCCGCTATGAAATCTGTCAAGTATTTTACCTCATTTCAAAGTGGCGCCGCCCTGGCGGCAGAAAAAGTTGCGGATGTCCCCCTCATTGGAACGTCTTCAAAAATTATATTAATGGCGTGATAAACGAGCGGTTCGAACGCGGCGTTTTTTATCCGATCGATTAATATGATAAATCTTTTGCAGCCAGCGAAATGTTAGAATTATTTCACAACATTAAAATAATTGATATGTATGAGATGTGAAATGACTTTTGACTTTTTGATTTAAAATAATAACTAAACGAGTTTAAATCGCCTAAATTTGGTAATAGAATTAATAAATACATTGCATAATTTATATTTGCCACTTTTCGTAATGATTTAAAACTTGGTTGGTTTACTGTTCTAAATTAATTTTATTATTATTTAAATAATAAAAAATAAAAAAATCAATAATGGTAAAATCATCCCGACTCTTTAAAACTTTCTTTTTTTAATTTGATCCTGTATTGCAGAGACCTTTACAAACATGAATTACACGCAGACCCAGAACCCAATTCCAGAAATAATATTTTATATAGCGGGATTCGTACTCACTGCCCGAAACCAAACTCTCAAATGAATAACATTAGAAACACACCGACTACGTACTTTTTGAAAACTTATATTAGAAAAAAAAGTTCGCCGCGTTCGAACCACCCGTTTATCTATCCCAGTGAAAGTTACCTACTAAAATGTACCATGCAAGCGTTCACTTAAAACTAAACGTTATTTATGTTGTGTTAATGTCGGTTTTTCTATATTTCGTTTTTTTTTAATGCTGAAATGCGTTGTTTTTTTTTAATAGTCATCGAGGTCCACGTCGTCCAGCGGTTCGTCGGATTGGAGAGATTGAAAGTCCACTTTGTAGCGGAGTATGCCTGTTTATTAATTTAGTAAAGTTTATGAATACGAATACCGTCATATCCGGCGGCGTTATCCGAGCAGCAGTGAAACAGAAGAGAAATGTTAGTTATGTGGATTAGTTATGGGTTCCGTCATAAGGGCGAAAGCGTACATAAAATATCATACGAATGCAGCCGAGAGGGAAAGTATCATAAGTCACAGTTTACTGGAAACGAGGCATTCGTGCTTAGTCCTCAGGGGTGGTAACGCATCTTTAATTCGTAATCGAGGATAGGTGTAGATGTCTGTGGGACACAGCAACCACTTATCATCAGGTGGACTGTGTGTTCGATTGTGACCCTTATCCTATTAAAAATGTGGCTATTGCATCCCATGAACATCCGCAGCCAACTTGAAATAAAGAAGCTGCAGATACATTGTTACCTTTGAGAACTAAAATGGAAAACCTACAGCCTGTTACTATACTGACTCTCCTTACCTTCTCCTACTCTCCTCAGAATCCAAGACAGACAACAAGTGCTACCACCTCTAGCAACACGTATTGCACATGTAAATACTCAAACAGGCAGAGGTGCGAGACATTCTAATATTTCAATCACCAATGTGAATATTATTATAGCAAATCTTTCCTTATAAAGGACAAGTCCACATCCAGCGGTAGACTACGGTCTGATAAATAAAGTTTAAATGTAACACTTGCAATGGTCGATTTCATAATTCAGCAAAGAGCTATTTCGTTGGATTTTCGTAAGTCTCGTAAGATGGGACAGAGGTCAATTGAAACAGGATATGGACAGCAGCATCTTCCTGATATCATCTCAAAATAATGAAAAATAAACTGCAGTTGCCAACGCACTTGCCAAGCGTTGCAACTACAGATAATATAGCTCCTATGAGACCTAGAGGGGGGCCTGTGATCAACCGTGGACTATGATAGGCTGTAATGGAATTACCGTGAAGTGGAGGTGTAAGAATATCAACTGCCTCATATGGTCCTGTGGGTTTCGTAGCAGGCGACAGAGGGGAACAAATCAGGAGACAGGCAGCAGCATCTTTTAAAAATTAAACAACTACAGTTGCCAACTCGCTTGCCAAGAGTAGACACTATGGCAATCTATGGGGGAGGCCTATGTTCAGCCTACGATAGGCTGTAATGGACCTTTATGGGTCATCAGTTTCAGAAATGGTGTGTGGACTGAAGAAAATTGAATGTTATTCTTAAAGATCTCTCCCGTTGTGGAGAGAGTTTGCCTTAACCGTCATGCTCATTAAGTTGCCTGGGTATGTAATGTCAGGCGAAATCAAAATAAACAAACCATATATCAGAAGTCATGAGATTTTTCTTGCTTTTCCCATACTCCATTCCATGTTATGACACTCCCGGGATCAAATGGATATTATTATTATTTGTTAATCTCTCTATTTTAATTTTTGATGATAACTATTGATTGAGATTTATGATCCTGTACCTCTCAGCTACAAATATTTATATTTAACATAAATATCCAAATTACGTACATTATATAATACACAGTACTATACTATTCCCAACACCTCTACCAAAATGGCACAAAACCCTTTGTTTACAATACATTGACGCTAAACAAAAAGTAGCCAATAGTATAATATTTAAACTTGTGTAGTATAACAATTGCTTGCTCGAGTGTTACACGGCTTGAACAAATTTATCACTATGGGGTCACAGAAATCAGATAGCTATATTAGCGATGGACAGATGGACATTCAGTTCATATTATAGAGTAGATAGATGTGTAGAGTTCAATTTCTGTTACTAGCACGACTGATACAGTTAGTCAGTTTAGTTCCTGTATTATATTTAAATCTATTCTTATTATCTATTGTATCTATCAGAGAATCATTGGTTAAACAATGGAGCCACTTTTCTTTTAAAATTAGAAGATGTCTTAACATATCCTCAAAAAATTCGTATAATAATATC